AGGTTATAGTCCATGCATTTTGAGAGAAAATGCTTCATTTTTCACAATTTTAGTAGTCTTTCAGGGATAAGGAATATAATATTGTGGGTATATGTATCAAAGGGGCTGCTAAAGTTAGTTTATCAGTTTATTATCGAAAGACACAATTCTCTCAGGTTAATATTTGACAACACAACTGATTATATGCAAGTATTCTATTTAAAAGTAATGATGTAATTATCAAAATAGTTAAACTCTTTTGATTGATATATTACTGTATTGTATTGCAGCTCTAATAAATATTATGGGAATTTACATGTAGATTTATTTTGATAAATATTCTAAATAAAACAAAATCTAAAGTTGAAGCCTGTTTGAAATCTGATTGTTCACCTATTGCAGCTTCAACCTTAATATAAATTAACACATATAGAACTATACAAATAGCTGCTTGTTGTAAAACATAAGTAAAATATAACAAAATAAAAATGTGCAGAATAACAAGTAGACAATAATAAACAACAACAACAACAACAACAAACACAACAAGAATAAGATAAGCAATAGCTGATGTTAAATAACCAGTTTCTCCAGGTTGTAAATATATCATACATACAATGGGCAGACTTACTTGAAGGATGGCAATACAGTTAAAATAATCCAACTTCTTATGATAYATACACCTACTTGCGAAAACGTTGTCATAAAAAAATAGGACATTTGTATTTTAGTAAAAAGGAATAAATTATAAAGDCAAAAGAAGRTCACTRAGGCTGAACGCTTTCTTTTGTTTTGTTTTAATTTATTCCTTTTTACTAAATTCGAATGTTCTATTTTCTATGACAACGCTTCTGCAAGTAGGTGTATACACGTTATAAAATTATTGAAGACTATAAATCTTATCAAAAATAATGGATTAGATGTTGAATCTTATAAACACTATCTCTAAGTAGGAAACAGGACTATTCACTTGCATTACCGTTTGATAGATTTAGACAGTGTTTAAACATTTTTTCAAAAATTCAATGAACAAAATATTTAACATTTCATGTTCTTCAACCAGTTCAATCCAGTTTTATTTGAGATGGCTGTAGAGCACAAACCTTACATCCAGACACACATTCTTACAACATAAAATTACAGCAACGCAGTCAATGAATTGTGTTTAAAGTAGAAAAGAAAGTTTATCATCTTACAGAACTGCTGCACCACACCCAGCACGACAAACATTCATATCCCTGACAAAAGACCATGAATTAGCTTCTGGGTCATATGCCTCAGCACTTGCAAGTCTGTTGGCTCCATCAAATCCACCCAATACATAGATCTTTCCATCAAACACAGTTGCTGCAGGCCATGCCCTTGGGGTGAGCAATGGTGCAACAGGCGTCCATTTGTTTGTCTTAGGGTTGTATTTCTCTGCCAAGTCAAAGTAGTGATCAGTGCTACGATTTCTTCCTCCAAATGCATAGAGTTGATGGTTGTAGGAAATTAAAACAAGACCTGAACGAGCCTTTTCTAGTTCTGTGACAAACGACCATGTGTCAGCGTCAGGATCGTAACATTCRACACTTGCTCTGTCACTATGGACACCTCTATCATAACCACCGGCAACATAGATTTTACCTGCAAGAGAGCAACATTCTACTGAAAAAGCATACCCTTACATCCCAAACTCTACTATTTGTATATTCGGKTATGAAATCAATGAATAAATTCACTGTTTTGTACAAATTTGTTGTCTATTTTTGGAGGGCACTTATTAATTGGTTTGTTGGTAGCATCATATGACCTCAGAAAAAAATGATGGATTCCTCTAATATGATGCTATGTATCAAATAAAAACAGGTCAAACACTTGATATATATCAAATGAGCATGGGAAATTGTCAATCAATCCTGAGAATCTACATATATAGCCACCAATTGTGACATCTATTAATTTTGCGATGTGAAGTATGATGTAGCCCAATTAAGTGCTCTAAGAACATCTCCAGGGGTGATGGTCAATTTTTAAAGAATGAAAGTATTATGTTATCAGAGAGATATAATCCCTATTTATCTATTCACAACAGCTTACCATCACAAACAGCCATTCCTGCACCAGATCTTTTTCTCCTCATAGACTGGACAGTAGTCCAAGTGTTAGTTTTCGGATCATAACGCTCAACATAATTATAGCTGCAAGTTCTATCTTCACCGCCCACRGCATAAATGTATCCATTCAATGCTGCAACTGATATAAATGATCTTTGGATAGCAATATCTGCTAACAATATCCATTCACGCACCAGTGGGTCGAAACATTCTGTATATCGCACATACATTGTGTCATCATGAGGAGAGTTGACTGCACATTCGCCACCAACGACGTACAGTAAACCATTTAGACTACATGCCCCTACGGCAGTTCTTGCATGTTTCATGCTGTCCATCATTTCCCATTCATCAGCAAGCAGGTCATATCTTTCAAGTGTGGAGAGTTGGCAATCAACCCCATTCCTTCCACCAACTACATAAATGGACTGGGGCTGAGCACGCGGTGTGGTCATGTAAGGCGGTAAATTCCGTGCACTTTCGTTTAAAACTCGACCCAAAAGTAATTGACATTCTGTGTTTGTTTTAATAATTCTAGAGGGAAAAACTCTCGTCTCCAGAAACTCCAATGASACCAGGGGGAGGCGTATGCGGGACAAAAGCTCAGCACTGAAATCTTGTCGATGTTGGAAATCATAAACAATCCATGCTTCTACCGCCTCAAACACCTGATCCTCGCTACGAACTTGAATCTCATCCTGTTCAATAAGATTAATCAGTCCTTGTTTCGTTAGTTGCAGAAATTCCTCGCATTTAATAACGTCCAAAAAGTGCTGGCAAATGAACCGATAAGCTGCGTGTTCAAGRTCCGAACATGAATACAAATCGGCAAATGCTCTGATCCCCAAACAGTTGGTTGCTTCGAGGTGTGTTTGCAAAAAACTACAACAAGCTTGACCAAGTAAATGAAGATTCAATAAAGTMGCTCCTGATAGTAAAGCTTGTACATTTTCGACAGTAATATCAACAGATCCCGTGTAAACAAAGTCTAGTAAAGGTTCCATCACCGAGTGTTCAATACCTCTTAGTTTTATGTCTTTCATTCCACTCTCGAGCATACCATTTGTAAACATGGCTCGTAAATAAGAGCTCGCTCCGGCCAAAACCACACGATGAGCTTGAAACTCCTTCCCTCCAACGTGCAGAGAAACGTCGCAAAGCTCTCTCTTTCGACGAAGCTCGTTCATCATTTGTAGTGACTCGTTTGAGTGAAGAGGGATCTGAAATCTTCGATGAGCCGCCATCGCAGGCCATCTAACAGATCGACGTGACTATAAGATTTTTAGTGAAGACATTCGCGAAAACATACAAGTTGAAAACAAGGAAACACGAACAATTCCTTGTTGTTGTGGCTACTCAATAGAATGAGCTATCGAGCGCTYTGATTGGCTAATCTCGATAATAATTTCACATCTACAATTAACTAACGAGCTTCGTGATTGGTTAATTTGCTGCATAATTAATTTGCTAGACCGCTGACCAGTGCGTCATCAATTTTCGTTTAGAGAAAACTTCTGAATTGTCTTCGTATTTTTATGAATATTGTACAAAAAACACTTTTGCTCTTGATATTTTTCAAAAACAGCTCAAGAATGGTTTCAGTCTTGTTGAAATTCTCCAAACTTTTTTTGCGCGACTTTTTGTTGGAAGTCTTTGACCACACCTAAGATGCGCTCATKMACTATTTTTACTCGTTTCTCTGTCAACTTTTCACTTAAAATCACGCACAAAGTTTACAATAAAAGACTAGATGCTTMAAACATCGTAGCTGAATAGCGTTTAGTCGATTTAAGAAGAAAGTCTGTCAGGAAACTGTCAAAAATGAGTAGTTCTTCTAAGATAACAAGAGAAGTTGTTGTGAAGTAGGTCACCAGTGATCTCACAAGACGAACAGGTGGCCGTTTACACAGGTCATTGTACATGACACACCTTGATTAATTAAAAAAAATCATAACTTCCTTCCGCGTCACCCTKGGAGATTAGGGAGTTAGGATTCGAAAACTCAGAAAAATTTAAATTAAAAATCTTAGAACAAACTCAGAAAAAAAAGTTTTATTTCCCTTGTCATTTTCGTCATGAATTGTTTCATAAATCATCAAGAATAATCGCCAGTATTATAGTAAAGAAACTTTATTAAGTAGCAAAGTTTAATTTGCTAAGYAACTGTTTATACGTTTTACCACGTTCTTCCCTTCAATGACAAAGTATAGTATAATTAACACAATATTCAATATTGTACCCATTTATTACTTATTTTACATGTAAAAAGTATTATTCGCAGCCTTCTTGACATAAGTACCCGTGRGTTTTATAAGAGATCGATTTAGGGAGGCATTCATGCTACAATAAAAGCGCACCATTCTAAGAATATAATGGTAAACCACGAGGAGATGAAGATGAAATCCATACTCATATCGTTGGTTAACCACGGAGCATTTTTAGGCTGTTCTCAGTCAGACAGAATATTAAATGGTTCGCACCAGAACAGACAAAATATTTGCATTATATACTTAACATTTTTTTCACATTCAATTAAATTTCAAAACGGTTATACTTTTTACAACGGGAATGAAATTCATTCATTTGTACTAGTTGTTKAAGTGACCACGCGCGCGCAAAATGTACAAGTTGTACAACAGGGYTCCCGTCATATGATCACTTTTAAATGTGAGCCAGTAAGCTTTAGCGACCATTACTAAAATTCGCTTTTAGTTATTTACAATCGCGGTTCATTCTCGTTAACTATTAAGGGTGTATGTACATCTGTGAATTCCATGAGACTCATGCTATAATAAAGTGTATCTTTCACTTTTGTCTCTATAATGACATATAAGAATAGCTTAGCCATGCGAATCAMCCGACCTGCCCGGATACCGGACSTGTGCAACTTTTGATTCTCTCTYTTAGSRGTTTGCGCAGTTATCTTATCTTCATTTCAGTCTTTTTTAATGTGTGGTATTTAAGTTCTGGCCATGAATACCAATCAATCCCTCCATTGTTACTATACTCTTTATATTTGCCGTTTAAATGAGACCAATAACATGAGTTRTACCACCACGCCCCATGCTTCTCGACCGCGCAAGAATTGCCGAACTCGTGCTTATCATTGTCTCTGTCAAACGTAGAGAATTGCATGCCATTGTGAACCCTTGAAGCATATTGAATGCCATTCCCAAGAGAGTCACCTGCAGTCCCACTGTATCCAGAAACTAATAAAGTGTAGTTATAATTCTCTCCTAAAATGGAAAAATTGCTATATTTGGCGAAGGCTTTTGTGCCATTAAAGCTCTCAATATCAACTCTCAGCTCATTTAACCCTTGAGATGACGTCAATATATGAATGATGTCATTGCCCAGCCAGAATTCCCCAGAAAAAGTACCAAAACCTGTTTTATAGTCATGCCAGTTTCGGTAGAAATCAACAGTGCCATCTTGACGTCTTTGAAATTTTACCCAGCCCCCACCATCAGTGGTTTGGTCACAATATACCGGAAGTGGTCCGTAAGATGCTACTGACAAGAAATACACGCCATCTTGGTGGAAGCCATGGTTTTTCCAGTCTTGACATGATTTCACTGAAAGTCAAACGATAAATGAAGCTGTTATTAAGACCAAGGCACGTATCACGTGTTGATAGCCGAGGCTGCTCCTAATTCCTAAAGGACTCTCGTTCATCGAAGCTTAAGGGGATTTTGGGTCGTACTTAGACATAGAAATCATATTTACCGAGAAACATGTTATACACTTTCAGCTCGTTTCTCATTGAAGCGATAATTATTCAGTACAATCAACAGCAGTATCTTGGTGTATGTACAAAATTGTATTAATTTGTCCCATGCTCACTTTCGGTCTTAAATTCGATGATGCAACCTTTAGAACTCGACAACGTTTCATCAATCAGGTGTAACAGCCAAAAGCGCAGATGTATACTGACTAGAGGTTTGCTATTTAAAATATCTTTGTATGCAATGACTTTTGACTCGCTTTTTTCCGTTTTCAT